AGAGAGAGAGAGAGAGAGAGAGAGAGAGAGAGAGAGAGAGAGAAGTAAAGTGTGCATCAACAATCATAACATAATATTATATATTTTTTACATACAAGTACATTGTGGTCCATCGTGCTCTGAGCATCGTCGTTGGGGGCAGCAACACCAGCTCCATCCAAACGGTTACAGTCAGCAGGCACGTGAGGGTCGACATCGATAAATCCCCTTCCAAAAGCACCAGCCACAATCTCATCCTATTCCCTGGTCCTTAATAACTCGCTGCTCCATGCCACGAACGTCGGAACAGCTCTTGAAACAGTTCTAATTGACAAGACAACCTTGTCCACATAAAACAGCTGCAAAAAAAACCAACACTTAGAAAACGGTAAATAAATATGCAATGAACCAAACGAAACAAATAAATAATAATGACACATAGAAAATAATGAACAAATAAGTAAAATGGAGAGCACGGAACAACTGACCGTCAGGAACAACAGTGGCCCTGTATACTTCTTCTGTGTACCGATAGCATCCCATGTTCTCTTCGTGTCCACCAGACAACGAATCATATATGAACACCAGTTCATCTTGCAAACATTTGTTAGATCGTCGAGCATGTGGACTAAACGGAAGTTTGCCATTCCGTTTGAAGAACTCTCAAAAAGACATGTCACCATGAGAACGATGAAATGTCGCTTTAACTAGTCATCTCCGTTTGGGCACTCACAAATCTTATCCAACACCTTCGATGCTGTGATATTTGATGGGATCCTGACATTGAATAAACTAAACCACTGATCAAGCAGCTCAGACGTAGCTCTCTTTTTTTTGTTGCTAATTTCAATAACTCCACGCGGCAACCCTAATGCTGTATGAACATCCTCTTCTTTTACGTGCAACTTTTTCCCATCGTGTAAACGCAACTTCCGATCCATGTGATTAAAGTTGTTGACTAGCCAAAATCCCATTTCAAAGGTGTTGTGGTTATGGTCAGATCCAACAAGCGCCCAAGACCCATCTCACGAACCGCGTGCTTTTGTGCATCTGTCAGACCAGTGACGGCCTTCACAAATATAGACTAAGATGACCTCGTGTTTAGGCTCGGGAACAAGTCGTTGTCATCACCATCAGACTCGTCACCAATAACGAGGGAATTATCATCATCGGCGTCCATTTTTTTCTTGCCCTTCATTGAAGAAATAGCAAAAACTGCATCAGAATGTCGGACGACAGCTACACGCATAAGACTACAAACATACATCTATACTACTCTAAAAGGACGAGTGTTTTTGTAAAAATATGAACTACCTAAAATAACCTTACTTTGACGTATTTTTAATGGCAAATTAGTAATACAGTAATACATATTTTAATTTATATTTTTAATTAAAAAAATAAATTACCTACAAAACCCCTACTTTAATGGCAAATTAGTAATACACTAATACCTATCATATCTTATAATTTTAATTAATAACTAATGCTTAATTACTTAAAGACAAATACATGAACAATACATTTCACATCTTCTGAAAATCAAACACAATATTCACGCACCATTATTTCTCACGAAATTGCTTTCTTCCACATATCTCTCAAAAATCAACCTAACATCAACCTAAACAATAAAGTTTTGAAAAGATATAGAATTGTTGTTTTAAAAAAAAAAAATCATTGTTTTTAGTATAATTTCATACATTATCTAACAAACTAGAAAAGTTGAACAATTCATTTAACTATTTCATCATTTAAGAAAAGTAAAATCTTATATTTAGAATTAGAATAGAAATTGCACTTTAGTCTTACTGGATGGAATTTTGATCCCACAAAAATCGTCATTTGTTTGTTTGTTTGTTTTTTCCAATTTTAGTCACAAAGTGAATAAAATTAACGAATTTTCACTTGACCATTAAATGGTTAATATCAAGGTGAGTAATATTTTAATTATTAACACTTAAAATATATGAATTTTACATTCAATAATTAAGTAAAATATCATGAGATTTTAATTATTATTATTTTATATGAGCCACTGATTTTAAAGATGTGTGCTAAATAAAAGAATGATTTGAAAGTAAAAAACATAATAAATCTGATGAATAACATTAAAAATATAATTAAGGTGTAAGGCTTGCTAATAAATATGAAAACAAATAATAAATAAAAATTTTATAATTAATAAACATAAAACTTTTAAAACTTATATTTATCGATGTAAATGAATCGAATTGTTTATTTATTTTTATTTTTTTGTGCTTATTAGTTCTATGTGTAACTTTTAGGTGATAGATAATAGTTATTTGCAATTTTATCCATGTAGGTTGGAAATTTTAATATTTAAAAAAATGATTATTTTAATTTTAAATAAATTTTTATTTGCTATTAGTTTTTTTATATATAAATATCATATTACAATATAAAATAATAGTTATTTTGGTTATTTAATATTAATACGTAAAAAGGTTGTAATTCAATTGAGAAATTAATAGGTAATCTTGAGTTAAAATAAGGAGTGATTTTTAAGAAGTTATATAGACTAAATATTTCATGTGTTTAATATATTTTTAATAAAAAAATTGTAAACACAATCAATTAATAGAAAAACTACAACATAAAAATTTTAATATTTAAAAAGGAATGCAAAAAATAAAATGTTATCTTGCAATGAAAAATCCAACGATAAGATGTTCCACTAAAAATTCTAAAGGATATTTCATTTGCATAGCTTTCATTTGAAAATATCATTGGCTATTCCAACATAGATCAAATTATATTATAATGGAATTTTAATGGATTTTTTATTTCTTGTGTGAATTTTCTTTTTGGGAACATATCAATGAAAGTTGCATTGGAAAGCTAATTGCAGTGATAGATACATACAATTTCATATTGGGGGCACTATTTAGCTAATAGAAAAAATATACCATCAAAATAACATAATGTCATTACAATATTTAAATTTTACTTTTTTCAAAATTTGTCATCTTTCTCATTTGTAATACATGTTTACAAATCTTTACAGTTACAATAAGTTAAAAGTATTCAAAAAAAATATAATTTTTCTCAACTAAAAGTAAGAAAATCATTGAAAAAAATATATCTTTTAAAATCTGATGAACAAAAAATTTATGTTGTAGTATAGATGACTCGACAATTTTGTTGATGAATTTATAAATTATGACTAATTGATTATAATATTAATGAGAAAATTGTAATTGTATATAATATAATATTAAGATATATAAATAGATTATATATTAACACATATGACCAAAATAATATATTCTTTAAAAATCTTATGAACAAAAAATCTATGTGGTAGTATAGTTGACTCGACAATATTGTTAATTAATTTATAAATTATGAATAATTGATTATAATATTATAGAGAAAACTGTAATTGTATATAATATAATATTAAGATATACAAATAATTGATATATTAACACATATGACCGAAAAACTAATTGGCTGACTGATCAAGGAACAACGGAACATGAGTATCTGATCGGTAACAGGTCTTGTCAGAGCCTATTCTATATATAATATTATGAATTTTTAAGCAAATACAAAATTTAAAAACATATGAAAGAACAATATAAAATAAAAAAAATATTAAATCTGACAAATGATATTAAAATTTACTAAGTTGTAATACGTACTAATAAATATTAAAAAATAAGAAATAAATATGTTATAATTAATAAAAGTAAACATAAACCTTTTAAAACTTATATTTATCAATGTAAACGAGCAGGGTTGTTAAATGCTTATTAATTTTTGTACTTATTAATTCTATATGTAACTTTAGGTGATATACAATAGTTATTTTTACCTTTATCTATGTAGGTTAGGAAAAAAAACACTTGATTATTCTAATTTTAAATTACTATTTATTTGCTATTAGCTTTTTACATATAATATATATAAATAATAATTATTTTAATTATTTAACATTTAATATGTAATAAATGTGACTCAATTGGGAATTTATTAGGTAATCTTGAGATAAAATAATGAGCTACTTTTAAAAAATTATATGGATTAAAAAGTTCATGTGTTTAATGTATGTTATTAGAAAAATTGTAAACACAGTTACTCAATAACTACCACCTAAAATATAATGTTTAAGAAGGAATAAAAAAAATGGTATATTGCAATGGAAAATGCATCTGTAAGATATTCCAAAGAAAATTCCAACGGATATTTCATTGGTAAAGTTTTTATTGAAAAATTTCATTAAGTATTCCAACAGAGAACAAATTAAATTACATTGAAAATTTTGTGAATTAAATCATTCCAATTACTATAATTTATTATTGTTTGAATCTCTGTTGGATTTTTTTATGGATCGTATTTCAACCGTTGAAAAAACTGTCATTGAAATTGTAAAAAAATTAATAGAAGTTCCATTGAAAAACTAATTGCAGTGGCGGATCCAAAATAATTTTATATTGGGCACTATATAGTTAATAGAAAAAGTATATCATCAAAATAACATAATACCATTACAATTTATAAATTATACTTTACATAATTTGTCATGTTTCTAACTTGTAATACATTCTAACACATCAGTACAGTCACAATAAGTTAAAAAGTATTTAATAAAAAAAAATGACGATTTTTCTCAATTCAACATAAGAAAATCATTGAAAATAATATTTTTTCTAAAAAAATTATAAACAAAAAATCTATGTTGTAGTATAGCTGACTCGGCAATATAATTGATTAATTTATAAATTACGAATATATAACTAGAATTCCCCTTGCATTAGTTATAAAAGACATAAAAAATATATTTTGAAGATATAGAAAAAAATATGTTGCAAAAGAGAGATTTGAAACTGTCATCAAGATTGAAATAATATAATTAGAGGATAAAATTGTAATTTTGAGATATATTATATTTTCTTTAGTTGTGATGTCGCGTTTATGTTATAACATTAATAAAGTTATGAGTTGAATTAAATTATAATTGGTTGAGTTGTAAATTAATTCATTATGTATCTTTCTTTCTTTCAATTTCATTTTTAAAATAGGAGACATGATAAAAATTATGAAAAAATGTTCCCACAAATTTTTATTAGATTCCTTACGCTATATGCTTTAGGATTGAGGGTTGTGTCGGATCTATAAAATAAACATAGATCTGCTCATGATTCTAATAAAATATTTTTGCTAGAATTAGATTCCTTGTGGCATATTTTTCTTACATAGATCCGAAAATTCATACTAAGAAAAAACAAAAAATGGATGTAAATATACAACTATCACCAATATTAACTATGTGAATTAAAAGGAGAAATAAACGAGTTGTATGTGAAATTTTATTCAACAAACACATAAATTCAATGAGTATGAAAATGAGATAGTTGCTTAATATTTTTCTCAAACAATGGGAAAAAATTCTAAACCTTTTAATCTAATAATCAGTATAAAAGTATATTTTTTTATTAAATATATTATTTTTATAAATATATAAATAAATAATATTAAATTTTATTTTATCTTATGTGATTATATTAGTTGTTGTCTAATAAATAAGATATTTTGATAACAACGTCATTATATGAAACACGTACAAAATATGATGTAATACATATAAATGTGCTTGAATTCTTTTAATAAATAAAGTATTATTTATCAATAGAAATAATAACTAATAAAATAATAGTAGTGGAATTGAAAAAAGAAAACGTCTGAATTTTCTTAGACAAGTATGAATACCAATATTTAGAAACAAAAAATCTTTTAAAAATAATACTTTATTTGTTGCTAGCGTTTAAATATATAGACTCTGTAAGAAATTGGATCTCATAAATAATGATCCTATATTATCAATTTTTAATTTTAAATAATTAAAAATTTAAAACTTTATAATACATAATGTAGATTTTAATAATGATTTCGTAATAATAACGTTCAAAGATGACTAAGAGTCATAAAATAGAATTTTAATTCTTCTCATCTCAAATATTTTAACAAATGAAATGTTTCTCAATGTTGTCTCATTGTTTTGTTTTGTTTGATTTTGTCATTGGTGAAAAATCAAGAAAGGAACTTTATCTCGAGTTTTTTTTAGTATTATGTATGATGCATAAAGTTGGACGATAAAAGCATTAAAAAGTTATTGGACACATAAATATTACAAATCCAAACGAATGTGAAAGATATGAAGATAAATAATTCTAAAATTATTGCAAGAACTAGATGGTCAATGATTTGCAAACAATAGATTATATAGTTCGTCTATCTTCCAAATAAATGACATTGAAAATGAAACGTTGGAGCCTGATCAAAACATTTTTGAATGTTTGAATGAAGTTGACACTTCTTATAGGAATATTTATAATTTCATTAGTGTATTGTGCTTGAACATATATATGTGCAATTATTTTATAGTATGAACTTTTAGTTAATGTGTGATGATTTAAAAAAAAAAAACCTCGGGAAAAGTACATATAATAGATATTTTGAATAGTCAACTTTTATTTAGAGATGAAATTCATTCCCTTCCGTAGAGAGATACATCCATGGGGTAGGTATCAATAATTTGTCAATATATATATAGAGAGTAATTTAATAGTTTATACAATGATAAAAAATAATCAATAATTTTAATGACACGATTTATTATTTTGCAAATATATTCATGCATGGTTAGTAGAAATATAAAGATAATACAACCATGAAGTTTCACTATATATTTGGTTAGAATATTTCTTAAGTGTTTGAATAAAGTAGACGTTTTGCCAAATGAATTAAGATGAATTTTGCAATACTATTGAACCAATAATGCTTCTTATGAGGACGTCAAAACCAAAATGAAAGAGAACGCTATCGAATCATCTAACATAAACAAATAAAATAACTAATGCATGTATAATATATATTAGTCATTATTTAGTTATTTAGTGCTTTTGTTGGGGTTGTAATATGTTATTTAATTATTTTTATATTAGGACATCGTTAAGTTATTTTGGAAAAAATAAATTGTTTCTATATTTTGTTTCATTAATGTGTTCTACATTTTGTTTCATTCTTGCAAGGATATATTTAATAAATTAATTTATTTATTTTACAAAACTTAATCGGCAAAAAACGATTACATTATGAGCTCATTTGTTCGACGTTTTATTTCATTCTTGCAACGATATTTTTAATAAATTAATTAATTTATTTTACTAAACTTAATTGGGAAAAACATTCGCCACCACGTGCATCGCACGTGCACTTTACTAGTGTATATAAATATATAAACAACTAATTGATTTCAAGTACCATCTCGGATGTTTTTATTGTCAGCAACACGCGGTCGAGGGCTCTCATCCACGAAATCACTATCAGACTTACTCGTTTTACATACAGCGACTTTTGAACGTTTTGCATGGCCAGTGTCTTGTTCAGCTGCAGCAACATCCCTCTTGCGCGGCACAACTATATAAAAACCAAAATAAGTAAAACGCACTTAAAATAATAAAATTGTAAAGCGGTAAATGAGCAACATCACCACCGAAGCACAACAAACATTAACACCAAACAAAGCATCACCCATGTTTTAGAAAAAGAAAACGAGCCCATACAAGATATAATTATTGTACCAATAACGCCAATGATAACAAACATGACCAAATTGTAAATTGTGCATTCACCTTCCAAAGCATGGTCACCTTTATCGGACACATCATTCTGTTGAACTAGAGGCAAGCTCGTACGACGTCGGGGAGCTGTGAAAAAACGGAAAAATTAAAGAAGACATCATATACTTATAGGCAAGTTACCATAAAC